AACTGGATGGATTCAAAACCAGTTCGTTTCTTGGCAACTGGGTACTCCACCCAGCCAGCGCATGTGTCGAGGCTGGAACCCGGTGGGTATGTGTCACGTGCGCCGTGCCCACGTCTTGTGGTAGATTACCATTAATCAATGGGCGGAATTGACCATGCACATCAATTCCGCCTTCATCGTATCTCTATCCAGCGCACAGTCCGGATGCGGAAGTACTATAAAACTCTATTGCTGGGTCTGGTGGATCTGGCTATAGTAAATGCCTTTACTATTCACAAGAAGCTACAAAAGCCTGTGCCTACGCACGCAGCGTCTTTACATCGACTGCACGCGGATCTAGTGAGTTCTCAGGCAATATGCTGCTACAGTACGTGGCTCGTTTGTGTATTATGCAATGGATAAGATACAGCTGAGAACCAACCTTGCGGCTCTCACTAATGAAAGGATTATGACCAACCTGCTCCCAACCCCCACAACAAGAATCTGCACTGTAGCACCCGCTGCGCTCCATGTCGTTGCGTTTGCAGCAAGCATGTCAGCCTATTTAAGTGCCCCACGTGTTGGTTTAGTCCAGCGATAGCTGCACAGTTGTAAGTGTCTTGACGTTTTAATGCTATCTCATCGAGTAGACTTCATTGTGAAGATTGTTGACAAGATCGGAGTATAGTAAGAATAAATGCTGAGTCATTTTCGTATGCCCCGATTCTTCCAAAATACCAAGAAGAATTGGGTAACGCTGTTTCAACTCGTGAAGGCAGAAGCCAATGCGCCTGAGGTAAATTTAAGCGCAACGTACGGACAAGCTCAAGATAACAAAAAAAGACAGCCTGTCCCATCATCTAAAAAATTAAGATGATGGGACGGGCTGTCTTTTTTTGTTATCTTGTTACTAAATACTAATTGTCTTGTCAACAATCTTCACAATGAAATCTACATTATTAAATAAATAAAAAGACAGCCCGTCCCATCATCTTAATTTTTTAGATGATGGAACAGGCGGTCTATTTTTTTTTACATGGTTTCTCTCCATCCACGGGCCACTACAATAATGTACACTGAGATCCACGACTGAACAAGCAAGCAAAACCACGTAGCAGCAACCCATTGCTACACAGGTCTCATTCCGTATTTTCACTCGTAGCTCTCAAGTCACCCTCCTCCACGTTCATAAACATGCGCCACATACATCTTCCTCTTAGCTTCAGCTGCCATTCTACTCGACAACGGTAACGCACTGCTTTCATCTGCGGACCCTAACAAGATTGTCAGCTTGAAGCCTGTTCACTATTCCGCCGAAGCCCAGCAAGTTGAGGGGAGATCTCTCCGTACACGCGAAGACGAAGACATAAACACCGACCAAGCTGAAGAAGACAGGGGTCTGTTGGACATGTTTTCGTCCAGCGTCAGCAAGGCCGCTTCCAAGAAGTATCTGCGAAATTCAGAGTTGTACGACAAGATGCGCCATGACAACAGCAAGTATTTAGAAACACTTGCCGTTTGGAAGACACAGGAGTATTCGGTTGGCAAAGTTGAGCGTGCCATGAAGAAGCTTGGCAGAGATTCGGACGAGATTACATACATCACAAACGGGTACAAGGCGTTCCTCGAGAGTGGCAATGTACGGTTGAAATAGAGGTAATGTTGATGAACGCACCTTTCTGTGTAGGTAGTCTCGAACGGCGCAAAAGGTGGTAGACTCATTTTTCACAAGTCACAATTCGCTGCAAGGTATCCTTGTTGCTCAGAAGAATGTTTATTTTTGAGTCGTAGTACAGGATTCTTTGAAGCAATATACTACCTTCGTCTCCAACCATCAGTGCTATATATCCATCCACCTTCCTGTAAGAAAGATTATCTTGAAAACGCCACGATATTGCGTTTGGTTTTGCCGTCAGTCTCGAAAACCTGCAGTGTTTATATCTTTATGGAAAAGCGACATCGCCGACTGTCAGCAATGAAGCATCTGCGCCTAGGAAGAACGCGGAAAGTCATTTTTATTCTTTTGCTGTCGTCATCTTTAAGATCACGAAGAGTGAGAAACGATGTACCCACCCAGGCACTATCCTAGATTTACAGCGCACATATATAGATTCATCCCCGTTTCTATATTTTGGCTTTTTATTTTCACTAACCTTTTGGATATTTATATTATCCGTGAAGGTTGACTCATCCGTTTCCTCACGCGTCCAATTCATAGAGATGTGTGTGGGGCAACTCGTTTGTATTGCCTCGGTATGTTCGAGGGCGAGGTGTGGCGGGTGTTACACTGCTCTGCAGAAAGCCGAATGATCTACCGCTCCTGGATCTAGCTACAACTGACTGCTAAGAATACGCTTCTGGTCTCGGGACCTTACCGCCTATCGGAAAACGGATCATCCTCAGGACTAATCTCAAGAGAAGATTACAATTAAGCACCTGTTAGAATTATTCGCAACGTTCGTGTAACATTCGTGTTTTATCCGATATTTGGTACACCCATCGGGGTTGTCATCAATCGCCACAGTTCAATCGCTGGCTGTGTGCGAATGGGGAATGCCTTACATTTACCGACGGCCATACCTCGTGTTCTCATGACTCATGCCTATACGTTGATGTGTGGAGAACATGTATCTAATGACCAGTGTTTACTGGTACATAGCATGTTTTTGAGCAGGTTTGAACTACTACTCTATAAGAAACAAAATATTTGTGACCTGCAGAAATAATGGATGTACACATTCGTTAGAGCTCTGACACAACTCATAAAAATGAGGAAACCGGAGGACTCTCCTTGAACTACGAACTCAAGTTCTCTAAACTGTCGCTTGATGGATTGGATCAGCTCGCTGGCCATCCGGCACAGATCACAAAGCTTTTTTCTGTCTGTGAACTTTCTTCATCGTACTATGTTGAGTAGTACGTACAAGTACAGATGAAGGCAGCACTTTCCAATCGGACCCCTACTGCTCAAGTGTTCTATCTACTCGTTTCACCGTCACTAACATCGTTTTGCTCCGTAGGGCAGCTAGAAATGCTGGTAGTAAACAAAACTGAAACCTTATACAGGTGCTGCGGCTGCGAAGACTCCCTAGCTACCATGGATACAGCACTGACTGCCGACACCGCTGCACCAGTTGTCGTCGCCGATAGAACGCCGTCTGCGACCCTAGACGTCGTTGTTTCTGCGGCTGCAGCTAATTCTGACGGATCTCCAGTTTCAGCTCTAGATGCCGCTTAAACTGTTCCTGCCGCTGCCAACGATCGACCACAGGATACTGTCTTTGAGAAAGCGCCTGGTACTACTGCAGTCAGCACGATCAGTCCGGAGATTGACGTCAGTTTGAAGCCGCCTGTGACTGGCGCTGCCAAAAGAACTAAGGCCAAGAAGGATGGTGGCTGTGGGTCTGGCTCGTCGAAACATTCTACTCGTAAACGTCGAGGATCTGCCAAGACCAAGAAATCCTCTACGAAGCGAACTCGCCCGAGTATGCTTATAAGAATGCTTTATTTACAATATTGATGAGCTAACGTTGCATGATGGCAAGGTTTTGTTATACGGAAGAGGAGGAAGAGGTTATAACGGACATGAGTGATTGTGTTCCGGATGTTACCGACCTTTCAGTTCCGGATATCGCCGACCTAGTTCCGGAGGTTACTGAAGAAGCTATTCCGGATTATGACAGTCCATATCAGCCTCCGGATCCGCTATCACGCTTGGACGAGTTTGACTCGGACACGTTCTTGGAGGCACTTCGAAGATATCGAATATTCGAGCCACTGGAGCGCGACGATTTGAATGTTGGTAAGATGATTGGCTACAGGAACAAGATTTGGATGCAGAAGGTGACGAGGAGGCCTTGCTACTGGATGAAATCAACCACCGGGAAGGTGGTTGGGAGTACGAAGACGGTGAGAGTGGTGAAGACGATCTGGAGCCATTAGGTGATGAACCTATTGGGTTTGACCTGGACGGCGCTGACCTGAGCCTATTGCAAAAAGTGGAGTGGGATTTCGATGATGAGCAACACAGCGGACAACCGCAGTTGGATGTTGCACCACTCTATGATGGACCATGTGATCCGACGAGTGCAGCAATGGCATACGCCGAGAATCCGTTGGCAATATATATATATATATATATGCCCAAAGAACTGTGGCGCCGAATTGCTGCAGAGACAAAGAAGTACAGACTCAACAGCATCGACGGAATTGCTCAAGGTATGCGTGAGCGAGCTAGAGATAGACGGGAGGCAGTCCCGTCAACTATAGTATTATCAAAAATAAGACGAAAAAACATTCAACCGCACGAGCTTATTCAATTTATCGGTCTACTAGTCGCAAGAGCTCTTGAGCCTAGGCGTGAGAGTCTCAGTCGACACTGGACGACGGAGATCGAGGAAGCACAGGCCAACGGGACCATCGGACAACTTCTCAGCCATAACCGATTTCAAGACATTACCAGGTACATACACTTCAATGACAACGATTTGCAAGCCGACAGTGGTGACCGGGTCTTCAGAATTCGCCCCGTAGTCCAGGATCTCCTGAAGGCATTTTTTTCGTGGCTACCGTTTAGGACCTCGTATATCCTTCGATGAAGGCATGGTGCTGATGCGGCACATACTCAATCCAATACAACAGTACATGCCCAACAAACCGAACAAGTGGGGTACAAAATTCTACCTGACTTGCTGTGCTCAGACAGCGTACTGCTCAAGATACATTTAGACTTCACGGATTACCCGGGATATACACCGGATGTTCCGGATTGAGTTCCCGTTTTTACTGATTGTGCTGTTATTTTTTATTATAGGTTGGGTAT